ATGGTCGGAGTGAAGCCCAGCTCCACCACTCGTGCAAAGACAGGCACAGAAACAGAGAGAGAAGGTTTGAGAAATCAGCCAGATGAGTTCAGTAATGTGTCGGACTGCAGTGTCTGGGAAGACACAGACACCCGCCCTGAAAACAGTGTAAGCTTCCATCCACAATGACCGGAGTTGATCCGTGAGCCCAGACTCTGTTGTGGAAAACAAAAAGGATTTAAAAATATGGTGACGGTGCATAAGCCACGCTACGAAACCCACCCTCGCTCACCCACGTCAGTAAGAAGATTGTGCCAGATCTTTATGAACAGGAAAAGGTCAGAACTGTGGACAAAATGCTATGGCTAGCGTCCCATAAGCTCATACACGACGTCACATCAACACCTCTGACATGTTGCAGCGCCGTCTACTCTGTGCTGACAGAGAAGGCCTTGAAAATAAACACTAAAAGACATTTGTCACCTGGTCTGATGCTGATGTGAAAGTGGCAGAGGAGATCCTCGAGGTGCTGAAACCCTCTTTGAAACCATCTGAACCATGTTGAGCACTGAAACTGAACAAGAATTTTGCCTTAATGTTTGTGAAGATTCATATCCTGCCACACTGCAGAGCTAAATGAGATGACATAGCCTTTTAAGACATGCAAACATGCTGTGTGTGAAATATAATTCATCAATTTCAATACAGCATGTGCAGCGGAATGTAGATAAGTACATTTACTCAAGTAGCCTACTGTAGTTATGTACAATTTTGAGGTACTTGTACTGGAGTATTTCCATGTTCTGCTACTTTAAAACTTTAAACCTCTGCACCACTAAATTAAAGAGGCAATATCGTAGTTACTGCACTACCTCAACAAGTTACAACATTATGCTCCAGTAATGTTAAAACAATACTAAAATATGTAATAATAATAATAATAATAATAATAATAATAATAATAATAAGTAGACCTTTGAGTATTTTTACAGTATTGCTACTTTTACTTAAGTAAAGGATCTGAGTACTTTGTTTACGACTAGAGCAAAGCTCAGTTAGGGAAATAAAGCTTTTTTTGTGGTTTAGCAGTTGATTCGTGCATGCCGACACATCCACACACAGCGCATGCGTGAACAAACACACTTTTCTTCACACATTCACTCCTTCACACTTAAACTGCAACGGCAACAGATGGAAAAACTAGGGGGAGGCGAGAAAAAGTGGAGAGAGCCCCGGAGTAAAATAAATGCGATTCGACTTAGACCGTTAGCGAGCAGCATTTCTCATGACAGGTGTAACATGTTTACCAAACAAGCAAGCAACACAGATGTCGGAAAAATGAAAATGGCGACTTGGGAGTTGCACGACCTGTGAAAAGAAGCCTGGTATCAAAGCTAGCATATACTGTATATATATATATATTCGGGGGCTTTGAAGGCATCTCAGAGAGATGAGAAGACTGCGCGCCACAACGGCATTGCAAGAGTGTCTCGCAGAATTCGTTTTATGTTACTCGCCCCAAGCAGCTCTGGTTGTTAGCCGGGGTCATCCAGGGTCACGAGCACTGATGGGCAGTTTTTAAGCCTCTTCGGGGAAGTGGGGAAATCATCTCGCATCACAATCAAGCTAGACATGTAGACTTCCGATGTGACCTGGACCTGCAACAAGACCACCATCTCTCCAACATGGCCTCAGGTTAACAAGCTAATTTGTTAATTGCTAACTTGGTACCGTTTTTATACATATCGTGCTATTTGTTTCCAGAACGAGACTGAACGATCCGCCAGAGAGTAAGGATAACTCACTACGGGACTTTTCAAAAAGAGCAAGATCCAAGAGTGGGAGAATTTCAATTGCCTCTCAACGGCACCTAGCATGGCAAAAGTTCTGACATAGCTAACAGTGTTTTAACCGACACATGCGAACAGTGCTAATCAGCACCGTGAACCTCCCAGTGGGGCACGCTCAAGTTATTAGGCTCGTTCGAGATGAGCCAGTCCTGCGCAGAACCGATCACCGGCGATCGGCGCACAACGCATTCCGGTTAGATTTGTGTCGGACTTGAGCCTTCCTCTGACGTCATGCACATGTGTTCAACGATAACCTCTTGAGATCGAGGCAGTTTTTAGAGCCAGGCGCTGCAGTTGCTCTCCACTGCATGACCCAGGGTATGATGGAAAACGCCTGGCTGTCGCCAGATCAAAGATCTGATTGGCTCTTAGATTTGACAACAAACACCACGTTTTGTGGAAAATCCAAATTTTCTGTTTTTTTATATATATTACAAACCAAATTATTAAGGAGTTGTAGATGATTAATACGATCATTTATAAAGTGTAAGTAAATGATTAAGAACATCTTTAAATGTACATTATTCATCCATTTATATATATATATATATATATATATATATATATATATATATATATA